GTCTCTCTCTCCTCCCCTTCTCCTCTAATGGTGTTCATTTATCGTCGTGCCCGTTCCATCCCTCGTACTCTACAGTGAAGTTCGAAATATATCCTCGATAATCTCATGTTAATTTATGTATGTGCCACAGCTTTTTTAATCACATTCCCGTGTCACGTACGAAGACACGATCTCGCTTGAATCCAATCGGACTGAGTATTTTTGCCCTTCGGGGTGCGCTTCGACACCACCACCACCACCACCGGCGTGGACCCTAAAATCCAGGCTGCGTGCACGTAATCCAGCACAGTGTCGTGGGACGAAAGTGGCGGGTGGTGTGTTTACTGTGGTGGCGGCGAGGGTATTATCCTGACGAAACTAAAACTGGTCAGGTCAGTAACACGGGGTGAGTCGACGAGATATCTTGGACTCTTCGTATCGCTTCCGATTGTATTTTATTTTCGATGCTGTAATTAAATACATTTAGTGTTTTTCAATGACACGAGTAACTTTATATGTGTATGTCTCAAATATAATCTCTCTTTGCAGTTTTTAAATTGTTTTTTTTTTAAATATACATACAAATTCTACATAAGGATTTTTTGGAACGTCTTTTGTAACTATAGCATCGAGGAAATTTTAATTTCATATATGTATGTAGTGTGCATGAAATCGATATTGTTTAAATCATTTTTGTTTATTGCATTCTTTTGAAATTTCATTACAATATTTCTCTCTCTCTCTCTTATTTCTGAGAAAAATCTTGTAACATTCTAGAAGTTAACTATATGTAAAACTGAGAAAATATTCAAAATCATATAGATACAACTTACTTTGTAATTTACAAAATTATTTTTAGGCATCATGGAAAAGAAATTAAAACCGTAAGAAAAAAGAGAGAAAGGGAAAGAGAATGTAATCTTTTTATAATATTGGAATATCCACTGCAAAGATATTAATTATATTCTATTTATAAGCCATTGTTACTACGTAACAAAACTGTATATAAAATTAATTAATACGGATATCATTTTCAACAATTGAGATAACAATTATCGCCATTAAAACAATACACACATATACATATCATTGACTACATTTACACGGCACCTTCAATCCATAGTTTAACAACATCCGTAATTATGAACCTGGCCATAATCATTCTATTTTTCGCAGAAATAGCTATGATATCGGTCAGTTTCATAACTACAGATTGATAACTACAGTTATTAAGAGTGCCATGTAAACGTGATCAGTATAATCTCTAAACATGTGTTTTATTAATAATAAAAATCTCATTACTTTGTATAATGCCTCTGAAAACACGTATAAAATATAATGTGTAAATCGAGTAATAATTACGAGTATATTGTGTAATAGTTGAATTAGTGACCAAAAAAAATGATAGAAAATCCCTTTTGTATATCCCACATGTGCAACCGTTGTCGCGTGAAAACACGCGACTGCAGCGACTTTTTTTCTCGCTCTAGATTTTGGACGTTGACGCGGGAACGCGCGTCCCCGGCTACATTTACAGAAACATTAGAGAAATGATCGATACACGACAGGTCGCTATGACAAAAATAGACGAATGTTCGTAATGCGTCCGTATAGAGGTAAATATGTTTCACCGCTGCCGTGCATGCCGGCTATGTATAAGGTAGTAGATAGGCATATGCACGTATAGGGGAGGGGGTGCGTGACGCGCGACACGACGGGGTCGCGCAGGCGCTACCTGTAGACTCCGCGGAATACGTGATGATAAATACTAAATTTAACCCCCGGGTGAAACGGCGCGACGTCAGGCTATCCGGATCGATAACACTTTTCTGGCGTCTCCCTTTCTTTTTTTATCGGTGAAACGTGACTTTGCTTATGTAGGGCGTTTATGTATATAAATCGTTGACCGCAGAGGTCGACGGAGGCGCGTATCCCCATCCGTGTGATACATCCGATACCTATCGTGTGACAAAGCCTTTATTAAAATTCCGCTCTATCGGGCCAAGACAAAAATTTGCGCGAGACACGGCGGAGAATGTTAACTATCTACTTGTTATAAAAATAGAGCCTTTAAATTCTGACAGGATTTTTAATGTAATTAAATCTTATCTTTTTTTTTTTTTTTTTAATTAACAACGTAAAAAATTTTATGTATTCCATTAGTTAAAGATATTGTTATGATTTTGTAAATAACTATTGTACGCGATATACGATACGGTCGCATAAGCCAATATATTAAAATTAAACGCAAAATATTCCGGAATCGACGTTATACGTAAAGTTGTAATTTATACTATACGCGTTAATTAACTAACTTTCAATTAGTTACGCTTTATGAATACTTTACTACAAGATGAATACTGAAACTATCACAATTTATTATTTAATTACAGAAATAAAACCAAATATATTACTTTCTATCCTAACTGTCCAATAAGATAAATTATATACAAAAGTTAGAGAAATTCTTATTTAAAATACAGAATTAAGTTGCAAATAATCAATTCAATTTATTAAACAATTATTTACACAGTTACTTTACACAATTTTCGAATAGTTAGAAAATAAAATTGAAATTTTTAATTCGTTATTATATAATAGAAGAACAAATACGTTATTTATCTGATTATCAGTTGTAACACATATATATTTATATGTTAACAATTGGAATCCTATAACATCATTAAAAGCTATTATACGCGTCATTTGATGATATGTAATAGCTTTTAATGATACATTTATTTAATTGTATAATAGAATATATAATCAGCTTTTTATATATCTATATTGCTCTTTATATCCATGAAAATGTCTGAAATATCAATATATATTTCCGCTTATTCCACATATTTCCATATAAATGTCATGCATTTCACGTATATGAGAAATTATTAATATAATTCCAGCGAACGTAATTAAACAATGTATATCATCCACGAAAATTTGAGACTAATCCAATCTATCAAAGGCAGTAATATTCAACTCAACATACAGTATATATATTTTATTTCATATTCCATAATATTTTTTTAATTCAAAGATATGATAATAATACTATTTCATAGGATATGAAATAGGATTGAAAATATTGTTCTATATATTCAAGTGGGAAAAAAAGTGCCAAAATAGCCGTTTCCTTAATCGATTAAAAATTGCTAATTTTTGCTTCTTAACTTCAGATTTCTGTCTTCAAGAGATTGTCTTAATTTTTTAATATCGTTTTAAAGCATATATTTATATATATATTTTTTTTTTATATATATGTATTACAAACTGTTTACATATCTTATTAGAAATAATATAATAACAATTCTTTTTGGACTTGTTATGAAAAGAACATACATGAAATATTACACTTAGATCACTTGCGTCTCGAAATAAAGTTTGCATTCTATGGAATCCGTTACCTTGACATACAATATATTTAAAATAATTTACATGTGAACAAATGCAGAATATTCTATCAAATACGACGTGATAAAATGCATTTATTTATACACAAGCATTTATCACGTGTAACGCTGTCGTATTAGTCTCGCAAAATACAGAAGTTTTTAGAATTATATACTAAAATACATTATTGGCTCCAAAATTATTAAAATTATATTTATTATATCACCATTTTACAAAAATAAATTAGACCGTTATTGTAATAAATTGAAAAAAAAAAGTACACCTTGTTGACTCTAAGAAAAGTAGTAAAACAACATGTTTGATATATACACACACTCTCTCGTTCTTTTTATTTTTTTCTATTCTTTTTTATTAAAGAACATCTGATATCTTGGGAATATCTATCCTACCTCTCGAGAGGCCCGTCGTACCATCACCTTTATTCACACAAAGTCTATCGACGAGCTTGGCGTTTGGTGTCTTTAAATCATACGCCCATCCCAACCAAGCCATGAAATCTATAAAAGCGGTAGTTAAATTGAGACGGTAGAAGCCAAGCTCCGCAGCCTTATAGTCCCACGGGAAGCAATGATGGTAATTGTGCCAACCCTCGCCCATAGCAAAGAAGGACACCACAGGATTCTCCGTTGACTTAAGAGTTCTGGAACAAAAAAAAAAGAGAAAAAAGAAGTTTTCGCCGTTTAATCCAGATCGGCTATACGAATAAACTTTTGCCGGAATATCATGCAACAGATTATTTAAGCGAAATAGCACTTTTTACAACTTCTTTCTTCTACAATATTATAACTATGAAATGCAACATTTAATGAATATATTTATTTATGAATGTATAACATGTTTATAATACATATTTGTGTGTACTTTACTTTAAAAAGTAGGACTGTAAGAAAATTTTTTAATTCCCCGAAAATTTTTTATTGTTTACAATATCGATTTTTTTCCGTGGGAGAAAATAAGTATAATTTTCTTCAAAATAAAATAAAAATCTCTAAACATTTTTTATAAGTATGATTTTAAATACGATTTTGTAGTGTTTAATGTTATGGCAATTATGAATAATATAATAATTACTATGAAATTCGATAAAAATTTATATATATTTTCATATATTTATTTAATTAAAGTATTAATTAAAAATCATGAAATAATATTGATTATGAATGTCATTAAAAAGCATTATCTTATTTATCTAAGGACATCTCTCGACCATTTCGATTAAATTTTCATTAAATTGTGTATCAAAATATGTAATCTTTTTAAATTAGAATTTTTTTGTTAATATCTGAGTATGATCCAAACATTATGCCGGTTAATTTTAATGATAATCGTATAAATATGATCTCCAAAGATTGACGCGTACCTGTTGTACGGTCGATTGCCCCACAAGTGAGCGAAACTATTGACAGAGAAGGTGAAATTCAGCGCCCACATATAGCGGATAATTACGCTGCTTATGCTTATGTCCCAGGTTTCGTTCCATACATAGACCGGTACTATAGCCGGCAGGACAAAGCACAGTGGCACCATAATCAGAGCGTAATACCTGCAATAAAGAACATTCTAGTGTTCAGCAAGTGTTACACATATGCAAACTCCAATACGTGTAATCGCATCCCGTTCCTTTACGACCGTGTGAACCAAGCGCATAAATCAAAATAAATTGCGATACAAGCGTTCAATTCCGCTCTCTGATGAGACACTTTACACTGATTGATTACTACTTAATCTCTCATCTCGGGGAACAACGTGTCACGCAATTTCAAACACTGCGGATAATTACGAAGCGATTTCGCGAGCAATCCAACTCAATCATCGTGATCTTTTTTTTTTACAAACGTCGAACTCCATTTCCCGTTTATTTTTTACAGCTCTTGAACACAAATTGTGTAATATTATCTAGGTTTTGTTCATCACGAGCATCTCTTCAAGTTTCCTTCTCCTTTTATTTCAAGCCTTCATTTATCACGAATATAATGAGAAACTTGTAAATTATTTCTATAGAATTTTTTTCTAGACATTTTCTCATTTACGCTTTTTTATTTTGTTTATATTATTTTGTTTTTTTTTTGTAGCAAAATAAAAATTTGTTTCCAAGTTCTTTTATGCTATGTATTAAAAATAATATATAATAAGAGAGAGAGAGAGAGAGAGAGAGAGAGAGAGAGAGAGAGAGAAAGTAATCTTATTTTAAAAAACATAAAAATAGATTTGAAATTGACAGATTCTGTTGAAAGTATATTTAAAAGATCGTATTTTGTTACGACAATTGATGATAATATAATTGAAATTGATATGTGTCAGTAAATTCGATCGTAAGTCGATTATGCGACTAATTATTACAATAGCAATTAATTACATTTTTCAAACGTGAACGTTTTATCACAAATTAGTAAAGAATGCGTCGTGCCAAATTATTAAACTCACTTGTCAACGAAACGTATTACAGAATCAGCAGCGATATCGCTCATATCCACATTTTTACCGTATTTCTTAACTGCTGGATGGTGCTTCATCATTAACCAGCCAATATGTGAGAAAAAAAAGCCGCGGTTAGCGTTATGTGGATCCGCACACGTATCTGTGTATCTATGATGTGTTCGATGAACACGAAGCCATTTAGACGGATGAGTCTGCGAAATAAGACAAATTTTAATAATTAGAATTAAAACAAATGATAATGTCTTTCAATATATCGAAAATAGTTTCAGTGCAAATTTATATATATACATAAAACATTAAACAAGTCAACGATTATTCAAACGCTTCGACACTTACTGTAGTCATCTTCAGTCTGAGGATAATCATTGGCTTGTTTATTGTTTTATATATAGATATAAGTTTGCATTGACACCTATAACGCGGTTCGAATAACCTTAATATTGAAATATTTAAATTTATGTTCTTAAAACCTTTCTTAAAAGTTAATTAATTAGTAAATATTTCTAATACAATATATACAAAATTAAAGAATTACTTCTTCTGCCCACAAAAATAGAAAATTTTCAAAAGAGTATAATTTCAAAATTAATCACAATGTGGAACGAAATGTATCTGAAATCTTTATTTTTTAGATCTGTAGTTTACATAGATAACGATTTGACTGATTTTTTACGGAGTTACGTGGAGATACAAATGGAGATTCGAAATCTCAAAATTGTTTATGAATTTTATAAAGTTTCATGGTGTAGATTAAAAATTGCATATGAAAGCAATTTACAGCTTTCGAAAAAGTGAATTTTCAATTTGCGTATTTGTTGAGCGTTGTACGATTTTTTTTACCGAGTTATTCAACAGTGACGCAAAAAGCTTCTTTTTTACTTTGACTGTTTACGAAAGAAAAGTTTAGAAAACAAACGGAATATTGTTGAATATTCTTTAAAAAAGAATGGAAAAGTCTACATTTTCTCTAAGTTGCATTTATCATTTTTTTAATATAAAGAAACTTTTCATATGTAAACTTTGCTTAAATAAGGGGCTAAAAATTAAACGATTAACATATTATTATTCAACTGTATATCCTGGCAAACAACACTAAAAATATTATAATCATAATCATTCATATCCTTCATATTTGAAATAACTTTGCGTAAAATAACATTTGTTTGATTCTATTGCAGTATGTCGGTGTATGTGTACGATGTATATGTATATGTAATATAATAGAGAAAATTCAGAATTGCTTAATCTTTTATAAGCAAAGTAAAAAGAAACACTTTTTGCTACAATGTTGAACAACTCGGTGAAAGAAAATCGTATAACTCTCAACAAGTACGCAAAAAAGAAAAAGTAAAGATTCGTTCTTTTAAAAGTTGTAGACTGCTTTCATGTACGATTTTTAATTCACACTATAAAATTTTTCAAAGTTTATAAAAAATTTGAAATTCGATAAATCTCCATTTGTATATCCCTGTAACTACATAAAAAGATCAATCAATTTGTTATTTAAATTATTGATTTGAGATTATAGTAGAAACTACAAACTTTATACTTTCTGGATCATCTCTTTGGATGATCATTTTTGATAAAATGGTACTCTCTTGAATATTGCTCTATTGAATATTTGAAAGAATAATCCTTTAATCTTTTGGCATAATGTAAAGTATTCTGTTATTTTATAATATTATCACAATTATTTGAGGATTTCTGTTGCAAACAGAAATAGTTCTGAAAGTAATAGCTTGTGGTAAATTATAATAAATTTTAATGTGGGTTATATTAACTAACCAAATATATAACGATTGTAATATTTAAGAATTTTACCTGACCAGCCAAGCAATATAATAAAACAAGTAGTATTCTAAGTGGCAATTTGGCGCTGTAGCTTCTATGTGCCCAAAGACGATGAAGACCAGCTGTTATGCCAAAACCAGCAGAAAGTAAATATAAGATTGCTGAAAATAAAAACAATAAATAAAACAGAAGCAGCATCAGATATTTTCTTTCATTGTTTACCATGTATTAATGATAATGATAATGAAATAAAAAAAATATTTATAGGAACATGTCAAAATATTAAAATAATTTTTAGTTTATAAATAATCAAGAACAAATGATTCTTTTTAAATTAAATTTGAAATGTACAAAGAAATAATGTAATTTTATTTTTTAATTAATTTCAGTAAAATTTAATTTAACATAATTTTAATTTAAAATTTGTCCACTAAAATCTCAAATTAAAATTTGGAAATGTTTGAAAATGAGAAATGTGAAATTAGAGGTACGGTGAATAAAATAATTTCTCTTGATATTTCTGCTGAAAAAAATTGACTATAAATTTCACCAAAAAACGCGATTACATTAGGCTTTTTTCACTGATTCCAACTATTCAACGAAACTCAATAGTATCGAAATGCTATACAAGTATGTATATGAGACACATATGCACATATATACATATAAATGAAATTATGATGGAAAATTAATTGATTTAATAAATACATACACCACATCCAGGTCCAAAATTTCGCTTCGCGATATCGCGTGGCAAACAAATAGATCGCGACGATATGGAGAACGACGATGACAATGATATTACGCCAAATTAATGGCTGTTCGGCCGGCATGTGCTTCGGTGGTTGATTGAGATTCAAATCTCTGCCATTTTCCGTTCCGGGTTGCACTAACATTTGATTTTTATTGTCCTCGTATTTGGTTATCGTTGAACTGTACATTGCTAGAAATATTTGGAACAATATTGACATTTTTATTTCATCCATGTTTTAACTATCGTTTATATTTATCTTGTATGCGCATTTATACGTATATATATATAAATATATCGCGATAAAAGATTTAAAAAAATTGCACTATCTCAAGAGAAATAAAAAAATAGGATAAATCATAATTTAGTTGGTTTATCTCATAATATGTTATTTTTTTCGGGCTTTAGTAAATCCTTATTTTATTCTATTGTCTAATCTTAATATACCTATTTACAAAAATGTTGGTTATGTTTAGTGCAAAAGATTATATTTTTATAAATTTACAGAATAATTCTGTAAAAGCAGATTTAAAAAAATAAATATATCGATCTCTAACATAATCAATACATATTAAGTACTTTAAAAGAAATACAAAATCTGCATAACAATTTCCATAATCAATACAATAATATAAAACTGAATTAAAAACAAATAAACTGCCAAATTAAAAATAAGAAAGTAAAAAATGTAACAAGTAAAAAAATATAAATTTGTGTCTATATTTGCATGGACGGTAATAAGAAATCAAAAATTTGTTTTAATATTAAAAAGTAAAACGATATACATCATAAAGATAAGTCAATTACATATGAAAAGCAGACTTTTAAAATGAATTTTGTCCAAAATATCATGTTTTAAGTCAGAAATGGCGTAGTGTTCAATAATGAAAGACACATATTATAAACTACTTTGAAATCTTTAAAAAGCATTTTCTCAACGTCAATTTATATACTGAAAAAAATCAAGACGTTTGATGTGCGTTATGTCCTTTAACTAGAGACAAACAAAATGCAATTGTTTAACATTATTAGAAATTGTTTAGCAATTTTATTTAATATTTTACATCTTACTGATTAGCATTGAAATGATTATTTTTTGTAAAGAGCGTGGTTTCCTTGTGGCTTTTTTTCCCGTTTTCTAAAAATTATAAATTTTGGACAAAATACATTTTAAAAGTCTGCTCCTCATATATTACATAACAAGTTCTTTACAAAATTACACAAGTCTATAATCTAAGGATTTCATTATATCAGTCTCCTTATTAGGGCGATCTCG